CCCCTTTTATCACAACAGACTTACCAGCCGGATCTGGCTACTCTTCATGCTGTGGGGCTGCACTTCTGGCCACCTGTATGCTGTGCTGTGGCTGCGTGCATGCACAGACTTTTATTGGCAATATTATCGGCCACATCAGTCAAAAAAATTGCTGTTGTTGTGAATTTTCCTTATTTTGGTGCCAAACCAATATGGGACCAGTGTGTCGATGCATCACTAAAAAGAATAAATGGGATCTTCATAGTGCTGCTCCTAAAGTCACAAATCTGGAAAAACCACAGTAACTTTGGTTTTCAGAAGAAGAGATTTTCTGCGTTGTGAATTTTACATGACTTTGGAATTTTACCAACTCTTAGAATCCCCTAAATTTTAAGATGAAGAGTTAAATGCCAAATTAAAAAAATCCTGTTGAAATGTATGCTTTTACTAGAGGTACTAGATATGTGTGTATTTGTGTCACAGTGCTGAGTGTTGTGCAGAGTTTTCAGTGAGTGCTATGTAGCGAATGCACCATTAATATAATTTCCTGAATAGGCTGTTAACTTACAGCAAAGCCTTGGTTAACATTTATTTTACTCCTTTGTGTGCGCCACATATTTGTAAATTTATCTCTCAAAGTTTTATCAGTTGACCACATCCTGCGCAGAACATGTCTCCTGTAATGAGTTGTTATTGCAACTTGTCTTTACTAGCCCTCCAAAAAACCCAACAAACCCTTTTTTTTTTAATGTTAACTAATATTAGAGGAAACAAGAAGTTTGTAGTTTCAGTCCATATTATATGGGGAGAGCCTGATATTTCCTTTGTCCCACCAGCATGGATTGGAACTCTTGAGTGCCTTGTCTTCATTAGGATTTCAGTTAATTTAATTGTCATCAATTAAAAACCACTCTTTTCTTCCCTTGCTGCGTAAGGTGTATGTATCTTTTAGCAAGGTGCTGCACATTATGAATTCTTCATTGACTAAATGGCTAAACAGTTATGGCTGTTCATAACCTGAGGTTGTAAGTAAAGACTTCAGGTTTTATCCATTTATGGTTACATTCTCTATTCTGTCCACTTAACGTATATTTCTAGTTCAGGAATTCAAGGAGCCCTGAGAGCAGCAGTATTTCTAGTAGAAATTAGACGAAAGGAAGGAAGGCAGTGGAGACAGGAAGTATCAAAATAACCTCACTAATTCAATCTTATGCATTTGTCTCTTTCAAAGCATGTCTCTGTTGAGTCAGCAACCTTTCCTTTCTTTGGTACTTACATGCCTTAAGGGACAGGATGAACAACGGGAAGGGCTTCTAACATCACTGCAAAACCAAGTTAATCAGGTAAAAACATACATACAACACTGAGGCCTCGTCATTGTTTTTTGTTGCCATCAGTTTCATGTGCACCAGGTAGTGCCAAACTGAGGGAATGCTAATGGATCAACATAGCAATTCTTTTCTGAAATCCATCAGAGAAGAATCAGTTTTCAGGTGCTACTACAGTACAAATTAATAACAATAATTTTCTTCCATATTCTTGTCTATCCCAGGTACAATCCACTGCTATGTTCCCCATCCTTATTTCAGTTCCTTCCATTTCCACTGTTGCCACCTGGCCCCTTCTCCTTTTTCCAACTATATTCTGACTTACCCTGAATTCCAGCATTCCATCTTTGTTGACATTAGACTGTCCAGTGGCGTGGAACAAAGGAGTGGCAACCACAGTCAAAGAACTGTGTATTTAGCCCTTGGTGAATAATTTGCTATAGTGTTTGAAGGAAAGGATTCTGTTAGCAGATGCATTAAAAACCCCTCCTTTTTCTTTTTGATAGAACCACACAAAAGCATCGAAGTGGAAAAAATACTGTATTGATTCCAGTTCTTTGGTAGGATTAAGTAAATTAAATGGGTAAATAAATGATCAAACCCAAACTTGGCAGAGGCATGAAGATGAAAAACGAGACTTCTTCCATGGTTCTTTAAATATAATAATTTATCAAGAAATGATCAGAAATATTTTACTTTTAAAGAGGGGAAACATGACTTTTAATCAAACTGTTATTCTTAGATCCTAAGTAACTGGAGGGAAGAACGATATCAGGATGATGTTAAAGCTAGGCAGATGATGCATGAAGCCTTACAACTACGTCTTAATTTGGTAAGAAAAATGTGTTTATACATTTTTTCCTTGCTTTTTATATTACCTAAGCTTAAAAACAGCCATTGTTAAAAATGACTTTGGAGTTGATTGTATGAGGCAAAAGAAAGAGGATATTCAAGAGCCTTCAATGCTGTTTCATTGTGTATTTGTCTGAGCCGCTTCCACTGCAAAATCCATATCTAACAGGTTCATCCCTTTTCTCCTTTTCCTGTCTTCTTGCCTTTTCTCCTCTCCCTGCAGTATCACTAGAGCTTATTACAAATGTGCCATTTTTTCCTGGAAGTTGAAAGCCATCATCCATACTCACAAACTGCCCAGTATATGTTAATAATAAATAATAGAGGATTTTTCAGAACCAGGCACTCATTATGGCTGAGATTTTCAAAGTTCACTTGTCATTGGCAGCTGTTTGGTTAAATCTGCTACTCAGCTTTGACAATTTCAACCACAGGATTTCTAACGTAAAAGTTTATCCAAAAGCAGGAGTTGAAGCAGCTGTTTTGTTTAATTTTAATACAACTTCCAATAAATATTTAGCTCAGAAGAGCAGTTGATTGCTGAAAGCAATACGTAACTCCAAAATGCAGCAGCCCCATAATGAGAGAGCATTTGGATATGGACAGGCATCAGATTTCAGCGCAAGGAAGAGTACTGCTAAACCCTGCTATCTACAAGTCTGCTTCCATTGAAACCAGTGGCACACATGTTATGGATGTTGGCAATGCATGGTTAGTTGGGTACTGGGCTTATTGTGCAAACCTACAGATCTCTTCCTGTTTTTAGAAACAAGGAAGTTGCAAGCAGAAGTAACAATAACTGGTGCTAAATATGAATAGTCTGTTTGCAAATGAAAGCATCTGGATTGTCTGGTTGATGTTGCTTGGCAACACACTTGAAAGAAAGAAGAAAAATTTCAAAATAAAATGAAGACAGTTTTTTGGAGGAATGGCCTGTAGAAATACTGAAGTATCTTCCTAGAGTAAACAAATTCTGGATTCTGAGAAGTCTGCAGCGCAGGAAAACAACTGTGGAATCCAGGATCTTTTAAACATTTAGATTTCTTTGATTGAATTGTGTCTACATACTGAGTGAAGCAACAAATAAAGACTCATACCAAAAGTTAGCTGGTTTTCCTCCACCATAATTTTGAGAAAGTTTGTAGATAGCTGATGTGTTAGGATTACTGCTTTTCAAACTAACCTGAATTGTTTTATTGTCTTGCACTTCCTTGTTTCTTTATGTTTAATTTATGCAGATTACAGTCCTTTTGGGATGGGGGACAATCTTTGTTATGTGCTTGAAACATGGCTTAGGTATCCAGATTGTAGCTGTATTGGTTTAGAGGAAAAAGCAATCTGGGCTTATGGTAGAGGTGATATCTTTTATTAGACCAACAAGATTTTTACCAAAAAAAATCTTTAATTACAAGCTTTCCGGCACAAACACCCTTTATCATGCATTGGAGAAAAGATTGTAAAAGTTCTCATGGGTAGAAATGAAAGTTCACATTTCATAGGATTTCACAGAGTCAATAGATGGAAAATTCCTCTGGGCAGGTAGGTCTTAGCCATTAAAGAATCTCTCACCTCTCTTGTGAGGTTCTGTGATGATGCAAATTAGCTTAGTACACTGGGGCCTTGGTGTCTGGTTGGAGTTCCCAGTTTTTACCACTATGCTAATCTGCCTGCTAAATTGAGGGAATAATCTGTTTGCTTTCCAAATTAAGCCTAAGGGTTGTGTGTCCAAGATTTGTACCAGTTTTTGTCTTAAGTCTTCAGAAGCTATATATCTGGGGTTTTCTGTTTGTTTGTTTTATGCAACAGAGAAGCAGGTTGTTACGACTAGGGAGACTTCTGAGTCTGGAGGACGAGCGAGTACCAGTAATGGTGATGATTTAGTGAAGTAGTTTTCACCCTGTGGTCTGTGGACCTAAGGGGTTTGTGAAAGATGCCTATGATCAATCAAAAGTATGTGAATACCCACACATACAATTCAGAAGGGTCTGCACCTCCATTTGAAATTTTTTTAGGGGGTTGGAAGTGAAAAAAGGTCGAAAACTAGGGCTGTGCAAAGCTTTGGTTGGTGATTTGATTCAGTGGAGATTTGGCTTGATTCAGTGGCCAAATCTCCGAATCTGAATCAAATCAGGATCTCCGAATCGATTCGGAGAGATTTGGAAAGTTTTGAAGATTCAGACATAGACACAGCTTTAACTGTTTTTTCTATATACCTCTAGGTAGCAGGTGGTACATGAATGCTGTGCTACTGGGGCAGATGGAGCATCCCACAGGAGCGTGGGGGCTACCCAGCATGCTTGGCAGCAGACTTGGAAGTGGACCAGAAGCAATTCCGGTCCACTTCTGAGTCTGCTGGGAAGCATGCTGGAGAGACCACCCCATGCTCCCCCAGCTCAGCGACTGTTGCCCCTGGGTCGGGTTGGGGGGCACCTGGGGTCCCCCTGCAGCTGATCGCTGAGCTGGAGGGGTGTGGCTCCCTGGCGGACCTGGAAGTGGACCAGAAGTACTTCTGGGTTTGCTGCCGAGCATCTGGGGGGCCCCTCTATGCTCCTGTGGGATGTTCCATCCATTCCAGCATCACAGTGTTTATGAGCCGCACCTGGTTTGAAATGAAATGCACCAATAAAAAAGACGAAGTAAATGTCAAGGTCATCCACATAGGAATTGTCATAAAACAGGGAAACATACTTTCTCTGTTCAGCTTTGTGAGACCTACACTGTGGTAAGTTCCACCAGGGGCACTTGCTAGATCATTTCTGCTGTTTGCACCATGTAAGCATTGGAAAAGGAGTTGGACAGACCAGAAAAATGTTGCAAAACAGCAATTGTGCCCTAGATTCTGGAGCATTTTTGTTACACTGATGAAGTTAGAGCCTGTTGCAGCCATGACAATCTAATTTTGAGTAGTTGTCATCAGCTGAATGGATGCTTAGTAATGGCTTGTTTTTCATATTTTCTATCATTGTACCATAGCAACATTAAATATTTTATCTTAATTTTGGATATAATGAAAAGTGACACATGTGCAATGATTTAATTCAATGCATTGGAAGTCTGAGTCTTTTCAAGGACTATGGTGGGTATTGCTTCAAGTTTTAAACTGGAAACTGTTATTACAACCTGGACATTATTGAACTTAACTATTACATATTTTAATGCACTTTTCTATAATTCATTTGCAACATTTAGGGCAGAAGTAAACACATTTTTAGAGCCAGAAAATTTATCAAGATAGCATATAAATTATTTGGGAGACAGAGTATCTAAAAATATAATTGGAACCAATACTCCATTGTAGGTATTAACAGTGTGTATTCATAATATTAAATATGTAACTCTGAGATGTCTACAGAACTTTGCTGTATTATTTTGCATGTAGGTGGGTGGAATGTTTGACACTGTGCAGAGAAATACACAATGGACTACAGACTGGGCCCTTCTGCTTCTTCAGATAATTACTTCAGGAACTGTCGATATGCAAACCAACAAGTATGTCTGAAATACTTATGAATAACTTATTATGTCTGCAACGATTAGAATATATACATCATATTTATGCTCTTTTTACTAATCAGGACCATAACTTGGTGAAGCACTCTGTTCAAGAAAGCAACTAAGCAAGTATTAGGGTCCTTCTTTAAATATTTTCTAAACAGGCATGTGCTTAAGCTCATGCTTAGGTGCTTCCCTAAATCAGAGTCCAAAATAGCTAATAACAATTTACATGATGTTTACAGGATGTCACTATATAATGTGGCTCAGATATATGTAAATATGACTATATACTTATTTTGTCACTCATCTGCATGTGTACATTTGGGATTGTTCATGTCTGTTGGATTTGTACATTCATAAAATGTGCTTGAAAAATCTGGTCCCATAAACATGTTTGAACACATTTATAGTCTTTGCTATAATCTGATTCTCGTGAATTTCTGATAATCATGCTGATAAGTGATAAATATGTAATTAACTAGAAGTATCACCATTGCTCCTGAAAAAGCAACCTCAAACTTATCTTTTTCCCCTTGTAGTGAATTATTCACAACGGTGCTTGATATGCTCGGTGTTCTGATCAATGGAACCTTAGCTTCTGATCTATCAAATGCATCCCAGGGTGGGTCTGAAGAGAACAAAAGAGCATACATGAATTTAGTGAAAAAGTTGAAAGTAAGTTTGGACCTGTGATTTTAACCTGTGCTTCTCCTGAATTGCATTGTGGACCCATCTCTTAATCCTTAAATCAAGGTTGTTTTCAGTTTTCTCTGATTAAAAAAAAAAGGGGGAGTCAATAATGCAGCAATAGCAATAGTGGGAAGGAGAAGAGAGTTTAAAAGAATGGGAATACGGGCTGGACAGGGTATAGAGTTTTGCATATTCATTTTTAATTATTCCGAAATTGGATATTTCAAAAACAAGTTCTATGTCCCTTTTAGTTACGTTGGAGATGTCTCAAATTAGTATTTAACTTATGTCCCGTTGTTGAAATAAAATTTTTAAAAACTCAGAAATCATTTTATAACAGCAGAAAGATTGTGCTCTAAAACATTTAATTACATTTGGTATAAGTAAAAGGAAATTATTCATTTAGAGAGTTAATCTTGGAACTGTGAAAACACTGTAATATTTGTACTTCTCTCTTTTCTTTTAGAAAGAATTAGGAGACAAGCATTCAGAAAGTATTGACAAAGTTCGCCAGCTGCTACCTTTGCCAAAACAGACATGTGACATTATTACTTGTGAACCAATGGGATCTTTGATTGACACGAAGGGAAACAAAATTGCAGGATTTGACTCCATAGATAAGAAACAGGCAAGAGTAAATGTTTACTCTATAATGTCATTTTTATTATGACTTTCTCTTGCATCTGAAAGTCAAATAAACATTTTATGTAACGTTAGAGCATATGAATACTGAAGTATTATACGTCTGTTAAGCAATAATTCCAAGGAAGTAGATTATATTCCTGGAATTTTATCCATTCTAATGGAATATTCTTTAAATAGCAGAGACAAATAATTTGTCTTTTTCTAAGCTATAACTAAAATTGTAGTTATGGTATAAAGCCGATAAAAGAATTGGGCTCTCTTGGTAGACTGAAGGTTACTAGCGTCATGGAACAGTATTGTTAAAAACTCATTTCAAGATGCCTGGCTTTTTTTTCTGATATCAAATATGGTTTATAAGCATACAATGTTTACTCTTATTTAGATGAGCTGTATGAAAATTTGCGTGCAATCAGCAAAAACTCTATCTATCTTGAAGTAACAATTTACTAATTGCAATTTTTTGGAGCAGTTTGGATAGCTGGTTTTAAATAGTTTGTCTATCAAAAAAAGTGAAATTCTGCTTTTCTTGGTTGTTTCACTTTATTTGGGGGTTCACTTATACGCACAAAACTGGGCATGCAGAATCCATGCAATTTATATTGAATAAAAGGTTGCTATGAACCCCTACAAACTAGAGGTGCAGACAGAAATGACAACTTTTGCTTGATCTGGCCACAGAAAGTAGTGTATAGTTGTGACCAAACAAGTGTATGGCTGCAGACAGCTTAAAAAATGGCTGATCAATCTGACCCCTCATTGCATGAGGTATCAGATGATAATGTTTCAAAATGAAGCATCTTTTGTAACTTGTGTATGCTGAGCTCCCAGCCTGTCACTGTTTTCAGAATAGGAGCGGGGAAGGGAACAGAAGGAGTTCAGTCTGGGTTTTTTTAGGCCCCCCTCCCCACCTGGGAGGTGGGGCAGGTGTATTGGAGCCCCCCTGAGGTGGGAGGGGGGCTCCAATTCACCTATTCCACCTTTTAGCACCAGCTGGGAAACCCCAAGAATGAGCTTCATCCACTGCCTCCCCCACCTCCAATTCTGAAAACAGTGAGGCTGTTGCTATGGGACCCTGGCTGCAGCTTGGGGTAACCTTGTAACTCTGGACACTTTGAAAATCATTCTGAGTTACAGCTAGGAGCTGCACTTCTGTCTGTACTCTAAAACAGAGTGTACAATCCCTGGTAATCTATTTAGTGTTGAAATTATATTGTAAAATGAGGCAGTCTTGACTACCACCAGATATGCATATTGAACAGGGGAATAATGAATGACTATTGGTACCACATTTAATTCTGAGCAAAACTTTCCCTGTGGAGCAGAGCTATCCATCCTGTTCAACAGCAGCTCCCAAATATGGCATGTGCCCCCTGCCTGAAGTGCTTCGCTGCTGAGCAAAAGACTAGTTTAAGAGGGTAGACATTTAACAATCACTAAAGATGCAGAAACAGGAGGCTAGCATTTTCATTTGCCTAAAGCAAAGCAAGAGCACTTTGGCTCTTGAAAGTGTGAGGAATTCTGTTCTTGAAAACTGGGTGTATTTGGGCAAAACAAGGAACCTTCCCATTTTTTAATGATACCAGCTGGATGTGGCATGTCAGGAACACATTTGGGGGATTTAAGTGACTCCAGACACTTTCTAAACTGAACAATATAGACAACAGTCTGTAGATTAATAGTTCTCAGAAAGCTATCCAGCTTCATACCACAAATTTGCATGTTTTTCCAGCTAAATCAGATTTTGCAGTGGAAAAGCTTAAAAAATAACTTTTTATCAGGTGTTGTGGTACATTGAAATGAGGATGACATACCAGCAGTGTTGGTATAGATTAAACAATTTTAACAGTATACTTTGCTTGGGATCCTTAATGGTTCCTTTGATCTACCACTTGTTTGCTATGACATGGAGAAAGAGCTGCAAGAAGAGGCAGTGATATCTAGATTATACATTGTGGATTCTTTGCACTATGGAGACATGCATATGTATGGTTTTTGTTTAACTAATATCTGGCCTTTTTTTTCCAAGGGCAATGCAGCTTTTTATTTTACAACCTTAGTACTGCGTTTCCTGCAGTGGAGTTCTGACATTTATTCAGATTCATTTAAAGTACAGAAATAGTTGGGGAGAGTTTTAGACTCATGCTTTAATCTGCTGATTAACAGTTTTTTCTTAGACTATTTTTTTCTCTGATACTTGTTTTGTTTGTTTGTCAGATGGAACATAAGGAATTAATTTTGGAAAATAATCACATTTTCTAAATGTGCTATATAGTTTTCCTGGCTATCAGCCTATACCACTATGAAAGCATAACATGATTCTAACAAGGGCCAGCCTTGTACACTGATTAAATCTTTAGCCAAATAAGTATTTGATAATTCTGGTACTGGACAAAATAAATCCTAAAAGTGACTTATACATGATGGTGTACAATGGCAGGTATTTCATGTTGCTTGGTTGTTATCCTGTAACTTTAGGAGTGTTGATATGCTTTTATTTTGAGACAGGGCCTTCAGGTATCAACAAAACAGAAGGTGTCCCCTTGGGATTTATTTGAGGGACATAAAAATCCTGCTCCTCTCTCCTGGGCTTGGTTTGGTACGGTTCGTGTTGATAGGAAAGTAATAAAATACGAGGAGCAGCAGCATCTTCTGCTATACCATATGCATCCAAAACCCAAGCCAAGAAGCTACTACCTCGAGCCATTACTGCTACCTCCAGAAGAGGAAGAGGAAGAGCCTACTACACCTGTCTCTCAGGAACCAGAAAGAAAATCAGCAGAGCTGTCAGATCAGGGAAAACCTAACACAGATGATGAAAAGAAATCAAAAGGCAGGAAAAGAAAGACTAAATCAAATTCAAGAGCTGATGTAAGTGTCTATATGTCTAGGTCTCTGACTTAATGGCTTCTTGCTGCAAGGGGTTAAATGCTCTCACGACTTCTCGAGTTGCTTGGCACCCTGCAGGACTGAGCCCCAAAAAGAGTTGAAGGTGAAAGTTTGACAAAAATACAAGTTACCAAATAAAGCTGCCAAGTAGATGGATGTACTGAAATGTTATTGTAATGGACTAATACTTGAATATTAACAGAAATTTGCTGAAACATGCTAGACTAGATCAGGATTGTCAGGCATACCCATGCATGCTTACTATCTAGTCTTTTGTTTGATTTAGACAAGCATCTCTGTTATATTTTGGATCCACTGTCAAATGTCCCTCAGTTCAAGGTGTATTCGGAATATGGGCTTTTATTCATGTCTATCCCTTCCGAATAGAAACGCCACAACTATGTCATAAGTAGGGCTGTGTGAAACAGCAGCATTCCGTTTTGACCAGCGTTTCGATTAAACGGTTTTCCATTTCTAATTTTGTTTCGATTTGAAATAGCTGTTCCGTTCTATTCCATCAGAACAGGGTCGAAACAGCGAAGCTTTCGACATTTTGCCCGTTGGATGTAATGGGGAAGGTCAAATAGCCTATAACTTTGTCATTTCTGGCCTGATTTGGATGAAACTTGCAGGATTGGTATGAAGACAGCCAAGTTCCAAGGAGATAGGTATAGGAGTTTGGGGGAAACTGTTCCTCAAGCTGCAGACAAGCAAAACTCATGACATGGGTGACACTGTGTGTTAAGTCACAGCAGGGTGAAAGCTGCAGGCCTGCTAGCCCTTGCTGAGGCCACAAAGCCTGCCAGCTGTCAAGGAGATAGGTGCAGGGAGAGTCTGGGGCCCTGCACTCCGAGCTGCTGACAGGCAAAACTCGTGACATGGGAGCCAGCGCAACTGCTGCTTCTCATCAGGCAGCAGGACTGAAGATCCCCCATCACGTGCCTCCATAGACTTGGGGGTAATAATTGACCACAGTATGAACATTAGCCGACAGTGCAATGCTGTAGCCAGCAGGGCCAACAGTACCCTGGCATGCATCAATTGATGCAGCTCCAGCAAAACCAGCCCCTTGCACCAAGCAGGACAGACAACTGATTGATGCATGCCAGGGTATTGTTGGCCCTGCTGGCTATAGCATCGCACTGCTGGCTTATGTTTATACTGTGGTCAATTAGTCCCTCCAGGGCTGTGATGGCAAGTGATGGGGGATCTTCAGTCCTGCTGCCTGATGAGAGGCAGCAGTTGCACAAGCAGCCATATGACGAGTTTTGCCTGTCAGCAGCTAGGGGTGCAGGGCCCCAGAACCCCCCTGCATCCATCTCCTTAACAGCTGGCAGGCTTTGTGGCCACAGCAGAGCCTAGCAGCCAGGCCTACAGTGGTTTCCACGGCCCCCCCGGTGACCCAAGACACAGTTGCACAGGCACCCATGACACCAGTATTGCTATCAGCAGCTGACTTTGGGGTGCAGTTTCCCCAACCCCCCTGCACCTAACTCCACGAATCTTAGCAGGCTTTGTGCCTCCACAGGGGTTAGCATGCCTGCAGTTTTGAACTCGCTGTGGCTCAACACATACAAGTTTTGCTTTCAAGACTTTGGAGTATGGTTTCTCCAAATTCCCTGCACCTATCTCCTTGGAACTTGGCTGTCTTCATGCCCTCAGAAGGGGCTTCCATTCCTGCAAGTTTCATCCAAATCAGGCCAGAAATGACAAAGGTATTGGCTGTTTCAACCTTTTCCATTATAGCCTATGGGTGAAACTTCAAAACAGCGTTGAATGGCAAAATATTTTGACTTGCTTCATTTTGTTTTGAGACTGTTTCAACAATATCTGTTTCTTTTTGATTTTGCTGTTTTGACCTTGAAATGGGTTGAAAAAGCGTTGAAACAAACCTGGCAGCGAAATTTCGCACAGCCCTAGCTATAAGAGCTCACTTTTAACTATAGAATTAAATCTTGTTTCAGTGAAGTTGACTTTCCTATGGAATTTGTTTCAGATTTTTCCAGGGTTTTTGCATTATTCTTCTTGTAGTTTGATTTATTTATTTTTGAGGTGGAGATTAGATTGCTGTGTTAATGATTTTGATTAATAGGAGGGAGTGGTACACAAACATGCATGTTATATAGCTCCTTACATTGCAAACAAAATCTTCTGCTAGATTTTTTCCCTTCTCCTAAAGCTAAAGCTTGTAATTCATTATTGAATAGCAAGCATACGATTTCTAGCACTCTTTCTTCAAGTAATAGCAGTGTTTTTGCCACTGCATCCTATATACTGTAGAATAATGCCAGCTGTAGGTTAACTAATTTACTGAATACGGAGGCACATTTAATGGTGATTTGTTGTAGCCTTTTTTCTTTTTTGCTCTTTTCACTGTTTCGTTATACTGTTATATACTAATAGTGTAAATTATGCTTGCTATATAAAACTAAAAAATGAAATAGGGTGGGACCTCTAACAAAGTTTTTCATTCTTAATTACCTGTAGGTAGTTAGTCACTTAATCTATTTTTACACTATAGTAAACTACAATAGGAACTGACACAAAGCCTTTAATAATTTAGTAAGAAAATTGTCATTATTTATGAGTAAGTAGAGTATGAATGTCAATAACATTCCCTTTTACTGTGTGTTTTAAGGAATATCCACAGAATAACATATACAGAGTGCCTCCCACTTATTCACCAATTTCCTCTCAGATGATGCACCATCCCCAGTCTGCCCTGTGGGGCTATAACATTATGGGACAGCCACAGCAGCCAGGTTTTTTTGTTCAGAACCAGCCCCTCCCACCAGGTAGGTGTGATCTTTGGAAGTAAATGGGGATATGTTACTGCTTGTATAAGAATTTTGTCAGCAATATCTTATTTTTCCCTTTTCTTGCGTTTTATCTTTTACTTTGGTCCTAAGTGAAATGTGACTGCTGATTCAGTGAGTTCTGCTTCTTTTGTTTAATGTAAGGCATTATTCTCTCAGCTAAAAATATCCTCAACTTAAAATATAGCTCCTGTTAGCAACGACATATACAATTCATAGACTGGAGAAAAATATCTTACTGCAAACTTTATTAAAGTGTTAGAAGAAAAATTCTGGCAGAGTGGTGACAGATCATTTCATATAGGTAAGATGGGAACACTAACTTTAAAAAGGAAGAAAAGGAAAAAACCCACCCAATTTCTACTTATTTCCTTTTACCTTTGCTCATGATCAATATTTTAATAGTAGTCCAATCATGATCCTTAATTTGTTATGAATAAATTAGTCCCTACTATAAGGAATAGATAAGTGTTGTGGAATAATGCTATGTCCTTCAGTATTTGCCTGCCATGTGTGTTTTTGTAAGTGTTGGTTGTTTCTCTCAATTTATATTCACATAGCCAGGTTAAGTATTTTACATGCTCTAGGGGGCAGTACAATATTTTTTTTTATATTTTAAGAAATAGTTTCCATATCACTAAGAAACATACAATAGAAGAATGTTTATATATTTAGTTATAGAAATATACATACAAATATATTTTTTCTGAATATGGATCTTATTTTAGGGAAAAGTCTTCAGACAACAGCAGGAAACCATTACAAAATAAGGAAACGCTGTTAAAAGGAACTATATAGATGTCAGTTTTCTTTCATGCTAGTACATGAATTTTTGTCTGACAGTACATAGTACATAAGGCCATTTAGCCCCTAGTATGCAGGGTATAATGGACTTGTTCAACTGTATGCTGATATAAAATTGCTGACTTCCTGCTTTTGACCTGATATGTAGAATGCTTTATTTTTCAACATAAAGCATACATTGTGCAAGCCATTGCTTTGCTACCATTAGTGCCAGTTTAACGTTCCTGTATCATGTTGTCTTCAAAGCCATTTTAAAACAACCTAATCCTCAGCAAAAGTCCTGTAAAATAGAGGCAGATAGGAGTACTTTAGGAAATTGGACAGGGACACTGAGAATCAGTGTCATAAATGCAGGAATTCAGGACTTGCAGTCCTAGGCTCTCATCTGCATGACTATTGGCACTGCACTGCTTTACAGACCTTAGTCTTTTAGTCTATTGGAGCAATGGTAACTTGAGTTTCAGAATAGGTGATACTCCTGCATTTTTATAGAGACTTCTACAGCTCTTTATTAATAAACTGTAGCTATATTTTGGTTGGAACTGAGATGGCAGAGGTAGAAGTAATAAAAGAACTGTTAAAAGCAACCAATTTTACAACCTTGTATATGCAAATTCCTTCTATTCCTCTCCTTTGTATGCCTCACTTCTTCTACCCCATTTTTGTCTTGTACCTGTCATTGGGTACAATGCTAAATGTAGCTTAGCCTACAGAAGAGGAGGCCAAGCTATCTTAGCTATATACCGAGTCTTTGGTAAAGAACTAATGTACACATACAAATTTAGCAGTTTGGGAAATTGAACATCTCTAATGAGCGCAGGGGAGATGGAGCGCTCGGATAATAGAAACTTTTTTTTTCATTTTTACATAAGTATGAGAAGACTAAATCCTTCTCTGTCCAAATCCTCCTGACAATTCATACAGCTGCTTTTCTCTGCCTTCTTTTCATGATAATTGTGTCAGGATAAGATACAAGATAGATGATCCCTTAGTTGTATCCTCTAGTTTCTGGAAGAGAAAGTTGTCCTCTGCACAAGTTAGGAACTGGCTCAATATTTTATGTTTGGCTGCACTGTTCTTCCAGCAGATGCTTGGAAAAATGGAAGTCTCCCATCAGTACCAGTATCCATAGCTTTTGGATAGATTCATCATGTACTTGAAGAATGCCTCATCCACCTTCTCTTTCTGATTAGGTAACCTATAATAAATCCCCACACCTTTCATCTTTACCCAAATGCATTCTGCTTTGCTGCCACCTTCCTCCTGAACTGAGGAACAAGTGCATGCCTTTCTAACATACAAGGCAACACCACCATCCTTTTTCCCACCCCTGTCCTTCTAAAACAGAGTGCAATCCGCAGGGTTCACATTCCAGTCATAAGAGCTGTCCCACCAAGTCTCAGTTATGCCATTCAGATGATAGTTATTTTTACAGGCTACAGCTTCCAACTCATCTGGTTTATTCCCCATACTTCTTGTATTTGTATATGTGCATCAGACATTTTGCATTTTGACCTCCCTTCTTCCCTTTTGTGCCACTTATTGCAGTCCTGTAGCTCTCTGGCCCTTTCCCAGAGCTAAGTTGCTTCTTTGAGCCCTTCCCCTCTGGACAGCATGCCTTGTTGCTGGAGGGTTTTGATCAGCAAAGTTGATTTAGATTGAAGAACTTTTTTATGGATGTGCACAGTTAGAATAGTGAGGCAGTGGAATAGACTGTCTAGGAAAGTTGTGGACTCTCCATCACTGGAGATGTTCAGGAAGAGGTTGGATACCACTGGTTGGGAATGATCTAGGCGTAGCAATGCCTATTTTCTACCATGTGCGTTTCCCATGCTTCTGAGCTTTCTCCCTTCTGCTATAGATGTCAGGGTGTTTTTAAACCTTCACAGAGGCATTGGATGTTGGCTACAGTCAAGGCTAGGGACTTCAACTGGGGTGTGCCAGTTCTCCTGCTAGGAGCAAAGCTGGAGGTTTAAGGCTCGAGGGTCTTGCTGCTCTGCTCAGGGTCTGACTGAATGCCATACTTATAGTCAGCAAGGAATTTTACCCAATGGTCAGATTGGTATGGACTATGTGGTGGGGGTGTTGTTCTCTTCCTCTATAGTGGGGGGTATGGCCCTCTACCCAGGACCTTGTGACCATATATTGGCAACATTTTATAGAAGCAGGACATTGGCTGCGGTTGTCCCTCTGCTTTACCAGTGGCAGGTTATGTGAGGTCCATGTTGTGGTCAGGGTTGATGGTAGTCTTATGTAGAGTTTAGATTATGGTTGTTTGGGATGGGTTGGATAGGGATGATTGTGCCTCAGGTTGGGCCTACTACTCTTATGACTATGACTATGACCAAGATATCTATGCTGGATGAACTCCAGACATGCTTTCTTTATTGACATCTCTTAAAAGTTGAAGATTGTTTCATTTCTTTGTGGCCTTCCTCATAATATTCCTAATCCTCCAAGATCATTTTGCTTTCAATAAAACAGAATGGAAAAAAATAAAAGAAGGGTGAACATAAAAGAACCAGGATGCAGAACAGTTTGGACTAATTCTGCAAAAGCTAATTTGGAGGTACAAGGTGCAGGATAAACTACTTGCATCGCTGCATGGAGTAGTCAGTATTTTATGCTTCTAAAGAAAGCATTTACTGAGTGCCACTTTGTCCCTTTCTTCCTGCCTCTTGGTTAGATTGCATGCTTCAGAACTGCTGCCTCATCTTCATCATCTACTCGTCTCCATAAACTTAGTTAAACATTTACTATTGCTGATCTGTATTGTAGTCATGTTTGAAGTTTAGGATAAGTTACTTGTCATCTGTCCCCAGAGCCTTTCCTATAAAGATATTCTCAGTGTTGCCTTCCTGAAAAGATTATGACAATCTTTTATCAAATGGCCTTTTGTCTTTCTCAAGTTCATTGAAGATTGCACTTGCTGCTTTGGGCAAATGCTTCATTTTCCATTTTCCCTGTGGCACTGTGTCTAAGCTTAAGCAGCTTCTCCTGAGTGGTTCGGAGCCTGATGTTCCTTGTTCAGGCTTTCTTTCTCCAGCACTAACATTTACTGGACTCTGTCTCCAGAGGGAAGCCCCTGTTGCTTGCCCGCCACATCTTGTTCTTATGAGTATATGCGAGAGGCTCCCATTTGACCTGGATTTAGTTGGAGGGGCTTTGTACGGATGTCCCTTGGGGCTTTGCCTCCCCTACACCACATCCATGCACCAACCTGATGGTCTCTAGCCATGTGATCAATGGTCTGGGCTCTTACATGTTCTGGTGTGCCACATCACCCCAGTTTGGCCACCTGCGGGCTCCAGCTGGGTTGGTTGGCCTGTGCGGCGACCTTGCATCCACTGGTGAATAGTCCCTGTTACTTTCCATTGTGCTTGGCCTGCAAAACTCAAAGAATGCGGGGAAATGGTCTCCCTCCCTGAGACCTTTTCCCTTGGCTGGATGGGCCTGCTGGCCCTGCCAAAATACAGTCTTCTGCCCCTGGAGTCCCTGAGAGCTCTTGGCTCCAGCTAGTGCATCAGAAGAATATGGCCTCTATCCCAGGCCCCCAGGACCAATCAACAAAAGAAAAACAGAAGCAGGGAGGCAGTGGTTTTCCTCCCACTCATGTGTGTCCCTAGCAGGTGCTTGGATCCTCTCCTTTGGTCCTGGGCGTTGCTTCCCTGGGAGGCAGAATCCCCCTCTGGGATATCCCTGGAATGTAGCATGGCCGGGAGTGCCGGTCAGGAGCGCGCAGATGTTGTACTGTTGCTGCTCCCCATCTCTGTCACATGCTGGCTCTTGTAGCTGCTTCCTGATGCCGGCTGACGACATCACGCCTCCGTGCCGTCCCAGCCGCACCAAGAGTTTACTAATGAATTGCACACTCCTTGCTTCCTGCTGCTGCGTCTGCACCTGGTAAGTTTTCCTGAGTCATGGCTCTCTGCCATTTCCCTGGGTCTTTGGGCTTTCCCTGCCACCTCTCTGCCCCCAACACAATTTTAGAGGTGATTTTAAAAAGATTTTTGAGAAAGTATCCGTCTCGTCTCATCTTCACATTTTGGGCACTTGGATATAACCTGGTTTGCAGCAGGTTTTCAAAAGGTTTTCTGATCTTTTTTTAGGCATGTTTGTCTGTTAATTGGCAGTTTAATGGTGATCTGTCCCAAGCCTTTTGCTGTAAAGGGCAGAGTAAATATTAACACTTTATGTATGCATTTTTTTTTGCTTTTTTTTAAAGGTGGTTCTAGATTGGACCCTGCTGGCTCCTTTGTTCCAACTAATACAAAACAAGCCCTGTCTAACATGCTGCAGAGGCGTTCTGGCACCATGATGCAGCCACCCTCCATACATGCAATTACATCTCAGCAGCAGTTGCTTCAGATGAAACTCCTGCAACAACAGCAGCAGCAGCAACAGCGACTACTCAGGCAGCAAACCCAGACAAGAACTTTCCAACAGGTTTGTTCAAACACCAAAACATGGGAAGGAAGCTTTTGGTTTCAGCTTGGATTTATGGTTACTTGCCTTGTAGGCTTATGAGATGAGGAGCCAGATGCAGTTACTTTCATCTTAATCTACTGCCACAGTAGCAAGTCCATGTACTGCTCTACCAAGGCCTTTTGTTTTATAAGCATCATTTGTCACTTCACCCTTTTGTCTCCAGATTCCTTCTAGTTTTATTGAAAGTCTCATAAAATCCTAGACCTTGCTTCTGCTACTTAATGTACTTTAACTTCCTTAGGTTAATTTATTTTATAGGTGTTCTGATATTTTTATGTGCCTGGGATAGGTCATGCCCCTTTCATGGAGACAGCAAATGAGGAGATTTGTAAAGCAGCATAGAAGTGAAAAAATAAGAGGCTAAAACCCTTAGTGACCAACTATGATCTCAGTTACATGTCATTTACTTTATAAAACACAGAGTTACTTAAACTGTGATAAGTGATAAAGACAGTTTCATGCAGACAGGATGAAGAAGAGGTCATTGTTGAGGTCTGATCTTTTTCAAGACTGCTGTAAGTGTAAGAAAAGAAGAAATCAAATATCCTTATAGAATAATGTATGAAATACTTGCCATCAAATGTATACAAAGAACATTATGCAGGAATTATTTTGAGCTTCTTTTTGTTTTCATTGTTTGTAGATTTATATGATTTAATATGCAATACTAGAATATTCTTCTTGGACTCCCTTAAAACTGACTAAAGGTTTGATCAGTAAGCTGTTAAAGCAATTATTCCTTGCACACATACACCATAACCTAAGTACTTAGTTTTACTGTATGAATTAGTGTGTGTGTGTGTGTGTGTGTGTGGTCTGTATCCTCAAATCTAAAAGATTTAATCCTAACATTTTCATCTCAGACCACAATATGTCCCTACTGTACATGATAACTAGATATTAAGAATTCTACCAAAAACAAAGCAAATTAATTGCTGCCAAAGAAATTAAGGACTACAGAATCCTCAGTCAAAATCAGTCGTGATTTTTTCCCCATTTTTATCATTAGTCATGGATGCCCTGAACTAGAAAAAAAGATATTTTAAAAATTAGCAAAGAAAATTGTTACAGATGTAAAAGCCCACCTGAATAGTGAGAAGTGCTGGTACAAATGATATTTCTAGTCATTAAAACATGGCTGAAGGTCTTGAGAGAGCTTCCACTGTGTTCTCTAAATAGCAAAATTTGTCTGCTAGCCTCATTCAGAAAAATTACACTAAATAAAGCAGAAAGTTTTTTCCCTTTCACTGTTTCTCATATAGAACTCTTTCAAACACCAGTGACTATTTAAAATAAATTGCTGTAGAAATGTAGTAAGTTGCCATTTAGCTATAACATTGCTTATGCCTTCCTGTAAGATTGGGCCTGAACATGAAACAGAATAGTGAAATTGGTATTGTCAGTATTAACTGTTATTTGGGATAATACAATAGAAATTATAACGTTCTTGGAGCTACATATAATTAATTGCCTGAAATTGTTTCCAGATTGTGTTAAGGAGGAAACTGAATGCTTTTCACATTTAGTTTGTGACATCCATTATACTACTAGATTGAGGAAACAAACTGTAATTAAAAAGAATAAATATAGCAATGTTCATTACATTTAGGAATTCCAGAATTTCCAGAGGCAGTCATTCATGTAAATGTTACACAGACATGCACACATACACATTGCTGAAATTTAACCTACTAACTTATTTCACAAATGTTAGGTGTAAAATCTCATTTGCGTACTAGCTAGTTCTATTATGAGAGGTGAATAGCTTGCACTTAATTTTCAAAGAATTGCTGCACATCTTCTGTAATGTGGGGGCTTAATCAGAACTAAGGAACAGCTTTTTATAAAATTGACTTTTTTATTAACTAAATTTGTGTATACTATTTGAGTGATTTGTCAGACTACTTCTAAACATTGTGCCTATAGCAGTGATTTTTTTATTTTATTTTAAATCATTCAAAATCTGCTTCCCTGTCATTCTTGGGGGAAAAGAAGCACCATTTTTTTCCATGATCAAGTATGGGATTTAGTATTAAGCTTTACTTTTTATTTGGTTTATTGTTCAACTGGGAAATGTATTCTTTTCTAGGAAAAGTCTGTCTTTGTAAAATTGTATGTTTGTCATCTCTCACAAGTGATGATGGATGTAATCATTCCTCACCTTAACTCATGGATGCCTGAACAGCAGTTATTGACAACCATAAACTTAAGAAATCCAATCAACGCTAACGTTTTAAGAAAGTTGAAAGTGAACTCACTTTTTTCTGTGCATAAAGCACAATTTCATAGCCAGTTTAAGCTGATAGTAAATGCATACAATAGCTATTAGTGGGTAAAACTTGATGAGGAATGTTGTTCCCTTAAGAAAAAGGTAATTTCATTTGGTTATTCATATTTTTGGGGAGTGAACAGGTTCAACTGTAGTGGATTTATTGGAAAACTAGGTCAGCAAGCGTTTGCTGAAATGACTAAAACCATCAAATGTCTATTTCTTAAAATAGAATTATGGTCCTTCTAAGGGAATTTACAGCTCATGTAAAATGTTCTGTGGACAGACCCACAGATTCATGTCTGTACTTTATTGCCAGAGCAGGTGCAACTCTTCTTTTGACAGAACTCGAAACTCCCCTGAAATATATGTGCATTCAATCTAAATGCTCTCTCTAAGCGTTAATGTGTACTTTTAGTGTTTATTTACAGAACACCAGTAGAAGGTTACTGCTTTGTAGGTGCAAGCATATAATGACCATTTCTTCCCAAGCATCATTGTTTATAAAATCCAATGGGAAGTGTTCATAGCATCAAGCAAAAACTTGTCTTTACTTTCTAAATCTTTTCTAACTTACCTCATGCTATGTATCATCTCTATCTGATGAGGCTAACTCATGCCTTCACTTTGTTAATCATGCCTGCTTTCTTTGTTCATTTGTCAGAGTTTCCAGTAACTGTTTTTTTCTGACTTGGCATGAATGGAAATCCTTACAGAACACCTATAAAAGTATCTCGTTGACCTCCTTCAAATCCTTCCTTCAAATTCTTTCTTCCACGTGACATATAAAAGCATTGACAATGTTTAGGCAGCTAAGGCAGCTGCTTACCATGCTTTTCATCATGATGATGATATCTTGTGCTTCTCCCTACATCTCTGCTGTTTCCTGCCTTATGTTTAAATGGACAGGAGAGACTTTTTATTTAGAGGCAGCTAATGCAGTATCTCTCTGATCCCTCATACAGAGCTCTTGGGAGCTGCTGCAATGCAAATATTAATTAATCATGACAAAACATAGCATGATTCACAAGTCAAATTATGGTAGTTAGTATGATAACATTGTAATGGGCTTGTATAGTAGGCAAAGGTGGGTTTGCAGTTATGTAGAAGTTCCTGCTGGTTG